CCATTTAGAGAAACCACTTCAAAAGGCAGACCGGAGATCTTTACAGAGGGTATTGAAAGTTGTCCCTAGGAGTGGCTTCCCCTAATGGGGTTCTTTCCGGAGGGGATATACCGCTGACAGTTGAAAGTAAACAAGTTAGTACATTTTACGCAAATCGCAATGGCTCTATATTTTTCAGAATATAGCATCATTTGCCATCTATGTGGAAATTCATTGGAAGTTTAAAGCTTCTTTGTCCTTCACATCCAAGTACCTACGTAAAACACTTACGAGATATTTTTTTTTCAAGAGAGATACAAGACATCAAGTCTAACGACTAATCAAGACTGAATGTAGCAGTAAAGGCCGACAAACAAAATAGTGCCGGTGAACAAGGGGACAGTCGTTTTTTACTGATAGCTTATGGTCGTGTCATTAATATATTGCAGAGCAGCTTGGGTGTGGAAACGTATGCCCATATTTGACCTCTGATATGTACGTGAAGCTAAAAAATAACTAAGTTGGGGTCACTCACAAGCCTTGACCTAAGAGGAAGTCTTAGTTATCACTCGAGTTGGCATTTTTAAAGTGTTAACCTCTTAACAGATTTGTCCTGGTCTATACTTTGGTGAGACAGTGAATTTGGACTTCACGAGGGAGTTTGTCAAGTTACAGATACTATAAAGGCGATCACAATTTTATTGCGGTAGCTTCAGTGGACGAGAGTATTAACAAGACACGGGGCATACACATTATTATTTGATCTTACGGTTGACAGATCTCATGTCCCAAGTTGCCGTCCCCTTAACTAAAGCCAGAGAAGTCGTTCCTCATCGGTCGACCGATCGTTCGCTTAGGTGTAACACCCTTTCGATGTCTAGCTGCCATGATACTCAAAGGAAAAACGAGGCCTGAGACGCTGTGCGGTGGCTGAAACCTGACCATGAGCGGTCGAGATGCACAGGTTGGCTTCGAACAACGCCACTTGAGTCACCAGATAAGCATCTGAAACTTTGTTAGTGTGAACATAACATCGCGGAATCCCCGGGCTTGAACGGGCGGGACTAGAACTGGTCACAATAGCACTCAAAACATGGTGCGTAGAGTAGCAAGTAAATGACCATGATATACAGCTTACCACATAACATCGAGCAGTATACCTATTTAAATACGGTTGCGTCGCTTGAAACAGTCAAGACAAGGCTGAAAAAACATGTGGCGACAGCAGCGAACATTTACAATACGTATTATTTAGTGTACAGTACCGTCCAAGAAAGACCAGGTACATTGTCGTCGTATGTAGGCAAACGAGAGAGTTAGGATGTCAAGAATAGATGGTCGATTTTGCATGCTATTTACAGCAAAAGCACAACGCTTGTTTCGTAAATGTATCAAAGCTTCCGTGACCACCAGCAGGGTTAGATACCTGTGATTCTCTGGAGAACACGAAGCCTCTCGTCGGATCTGAGGGTTTCCTTTTCCATGGATCCAACATTCGATCTGTTGAAACGCCTCACTATATAGGGAACGTCAATACGCCAGAATTTGGAGTTTAAACTACAGATGCCCACTAGATATCACTCACCAGCTATTCATTTGGGGATTCGGTGGCGCTCTGTCCCTGATGGAGGATCCAGGGAAGATCTGACTACCTCAGGTCCAAGGAACTTTCCCCTTCCGTTGAACATCACGTGTACCACGCGAATGGGTCGATTGGAACATAAGCTCATTGAGACAGTGTAGACATTAGCTGAGTCAGAGCATACGAGAACACAACTAAAAACGAAGCTAACCTGGAAATGAAATAAGGTACCATTTTGGCGGCGAATTCCTTTCTGAAATCAGGTGTTGTTCTAAGATTGATTCGTCCGAATACTTACTACCTCAAATACGGCCAAATTCGGTTACACAAACAACAAGCTATTCAATAGGGGATTCGCTCCCCCATCAATTCAATACGGTGATGTGAACGCGACCCTCGAAAATTGTCCCACCTTTTTTAAGCGTCCGTGAAGCTACGTGACTGAGAAGTCCTGACAAACCGATGGAAAGATCAGCATATAGAGTTTCCTGGACTGTAGACAAATAGACACTAAATTTGAGACGCTACAGGTGTCGTAAAAGGATACCCACATTTCTGAAGCCTATGAACAAAGCACTGTGGAGTGCATCAGCCTGAAAACACTTGGCATCAGATCACAGCCCACAGGAGCATAGTTGTACCACAAACCTTTGGTGAGCTAAAGCACCACGACACTTAGTTAGTGCTTTCTGTGAACGGATGACTTTGGAAAAGATCAAACTCGTTATAACACCCCCTCACTTAGTCATATTTCTCGTAAAAACAAAGGGTGAAGGCATAACGAGGACGGGCGGTCACAAATACGCGACTACAATTAGGACACTAGAAAGACCCTCGTTTGGAAACTGTGTGAATGAAACGTGCGCGCAATTGAGCGGAAACTACGAGTGTCCCTGGTTAAGATGGGTAGTAAGCAATATTGAGGTGCCATATTTTCGCACAGCTGATGATGAGACATCAGCCATCAACTCCAACTTTTCAGTCAAAAAAATAAGCGGAACGTACAAGTCCGAAATTTATCGGTGTGTACTTTGGCTTTCCAGGAGAAATGAACAATCAGTTAAGTCACGTGACTTGCGGAGGAACAATCACTCACGCGGAAGCAAGTTAGCCAATACAAAAGTGCACAACGATACCGTCACCGGTTTCGTGCAGCTGATGGATTTTGTCAGAAGACTGGCGAACTAGTTGTCACGTTATTGCGTCCGCACAATCTTACCCTTAATTGCTCGGATAGTTAAGAGTCCTACAGAATATTTTCTATCATATACACAAGGGAATCGCATTCTAATTTTCCTAGATGTCTTTTATGTGACATGCGGTGAGATGGAAATAGCTCCTGCATGTGGGAGGCTAATTGTGTTTCACCGGTGAGGGCTCCAAACTACAGCGCGAGCTTGGTCGGATTACCTGATCACTGATGCTGGAGTACGCAGGACGGTTTTCGGGGAAGGTTATTCCTCCTCGATAGATAAGCTGGTTACTCTCCACAGGTTACGCTGGCTGAGCCATGTGCTTCAAACACTTTGTAGAGTCCTCTTCGTTCAGCCTTGTACCGGACGCAGACAACCCAGGAGCGAGCAGTCCGTGACCTAGCAACAAAGCATGAAAGCGCTTACCGGTCAACTCAGTCACGATGTCAAATGTCATCCCCCCGGATGAAGACTCCAGGACAAGTCAAAGTAATGTTTCGTGACAATTGCAGATATAGCTGTGCCACGGAGTCAGTGGCGATCCTGCATTTCTCACCTCCTGCCATATCAAACACAACGACTTAGCGTCAATGAACTGGCTAAGCCATTGCCTCCAATGTGTGACTTTCATTTCCTTATTCTACGTACCCTGGGTGAATCTTGTTGTAGCGTCTGGACAACTGCTCGTCGGTTTGTAGGTTCAGTTATCCTACCCACAAGGGTCTAGACGACTGTTCAAATCAATAAAGTGATCTACCATGTTTGGGTTTGATACCAGTAAACCATAGCTTGCAGGTGCAAAGCGCACACTGGAAAAATTCAGTTGTTACACCAGAAGAACCGAGGTGTTGGTTTTCGAAGAAAGACGCGACACAGTCCAGTGAATTATATAACTCACGCCAATATTCTTTACTCCTTCCAAGTTCAGGTGTCGAAGAGTTGGAGGTAAATTCAGAGCCAAAGCATCAACAGTATCTTGGCTGAGGGTACAAAAACCGATATCAAGACAGCGAAGTAGAGGACACGATCGCAAGGCCACAGGTAAGACAGGATCAGCGTGGTCCAGTGCTGGAGAACGGAATATCTCAAGCATAGGTCGGGTTTCAAAAGAACGCAGTATGTTTTCTGCTGGGGTGTCCCTGCGTAACACCAGTCGCTTTCGTAAAACTGGATTGAGTGAGAGAAAATGCCATAGACGACAAACAGTAGGGATGTTCCGTACAAGATCATCTTGGGACAGGAAACTGAAGATTGTCAATAACAATTCAGCGGGCAATAATTGGATCGGACCAAGCGCAACCGACTCGTTCTGATCAGAAGTAGAGTCTGATGACACGTCGCACCTGTCCACCGAATATGGTATATCAGCTGATTCAAGTGAAGGGTCATGCGTTGTGGTGACTAGAACATCAGGGCACATTGCGTGAGTGACTTCTGAGTGACGTTTTGAGAAAGCTGCCGTGCCGGATGAAGCAGGTATTGCACCATTGTTTGTTGTCGGTCCAGACTCCCTAAAAAACATAGAAACACATCAGAAGGTATGATAGCTGAAGGATTTGGGGGAAATGACAGGGTCAACGAAGGTGGAAAATGGGTAGCAGACAAAGGAACAATGGCAACCCGACCCAACAACTATAGTTTGACATATGAACGGTTCAGTTGGTTTCAGGTTCCAAAACAGCAGGCATTTGTGAAAAACGCATAGAAGTGGTTACAACACTCGTTCGGATTTCGGAAGATGGCTAGGCTCCGATTGAGATAACCCAGTGGAGGAGAAAACTTACTGACCGAAAGGTCAGTGCTTTGAACCCAACGTCAATAATTCGAATGCACCTATCTAGAGTTGGGTAACCTAGCGGGATCTCCGTCCTCGTGTCTTCATCTCGAGGCAGAGCAAATAGGCAGCAAAGAGGTGTTACGGCTGGACGAATAGGTCGCGCAGATAACCGAGTCGATCAAACAGCAGATCGACAGAGCCACAAGCTACACTGCACTTGTTCAGATTTACGCAAAGTTGCAGACTGAGCGTAGACTACGCAAGTAAATGTGCGAATACACTACCCAGCAAATGCACACGGCTTGTACACCATTGGACAATAAAACAAGCATCCAGATGTAAGGAAAATGGTACAAAACAGTACAAAATCGCTGCTGGAAGATGTTAGGGCACCAGATGGGTGACTACCTAATAACCATACAAATTCAAAATTATCTTCCACCTAACCATCGAAGTCTTCCGGTGTAGCATGGACAGCGACAAACCAACAACGAACACTAGTACTCATCTACAATACAGCCGTGAGGACGCCTATGAAAGAGAAGAGGGACAGGAACTTATTAAAAATTTCCTGTTCATAAAGAAAACGATCGAAAACAAGATACCCACACATCAAAACAACGACGAGCTAGACACATTTGAGCATCACACAGAAGTACGACGTCGTTGGTGGGATGGATCCAACATCCTTTGCGAACGTCACCCGACGAGTCCATCGTACGACGATTAAAAAACGTTATCTAGGTAGACGGACTAGGAACTGGCCACATGCTTGCTACTGATCACATGTTCCGTAGGACTTCTAACCACGAGCAAGGAGAATCAGGAGAGTGCAAACACCCCCCTCACATTCAGTTTACTGTTAGTTATCTTCATTTCGCGTCTGAATGTCATGGCTTGTCATCGGCAGGCTTTTCGACAACAACAGTTCAGAGTTAGAAACGGTGCTTTCTTTGGTAGATCGTAGTGTGAAACGTCGTCCCTAGGTCCAGTTGCTGGAGTGTGCGAGCGCGGAAACACCACACGTCATGTTTCTAAAATGATGTATAGCAGCAGTAATCTCTTCCCATTTATGACTGTCTGCTGAAGAGGCCATTTTCAAGGCATCAAATAGCAGTTTTTTTATGTTTGCTTGATTCGGGGCTTGAGGAACTTTCTGACTGCAAATGAGCAGCTTCCCCCCTTCGGTTTAGACGAGAAATTCAATAACAACTAGCATAAGGTGAGAGGATGGTCCAAATCAGCACCTGTATTTCAATAGGATCATCAATCGAGTATTGAGTACCGCCACCGGCAGCTAACGCCGAAGTGATCAATTCGCCTCCATGTTTGCTCAGCAGTAGTGGGACTGCAGATATCCACTGCTGAAACAACTGGAGACTACGTTTACAGCTCATAGAACAGTGTGGATTGCACTACCGCAATACAGGCTCTGCCCTTCACAGACCAACTGACGTCACACTGGCACCGAAGGTATCGGAGTTTGGTAAACGCTGACCTGGCCTTCCCGATTCGAGAACTAATTTCGTCACCCGACAGTCCATCGGAACTTGCACAACTGCCAAGGCACACCAATTTATTCACCACATCGGTTGGCCGGTGTGTTAGCACGAGGCTTGGGTTTGATCCCACCCAGTCTTGTAGCAGTACTCTATACTTTGAAGATATGAAGTGCATGCCCAACCGTGCGGCAATTATTCAGGATAGTTAAGATGATTCGCATGCTTGAAGGATCCGCACCAAGGAGAACAATATCGTCTATATACTCAATGTTCATCAGAGAACTCCCCGGGAGCACTTCGATCGACAAGGCTTCAGAGGCATGCAGATGAATTTCAAGCAGCACATCAATAACAGAGTCGAATAATAGTAAGATGGAGCAGCCCAGTCTTGGACCACTGGACGTGGCGATCTCTCCAAATCTTCCACAGTAGAGCTATCAGAGCGATTATTCTATGACTGTTCCACGATTGTTCTATGGCAAACAACTAACGTCCAAATTGATGGGCCAAATAAGAGAGAGGAAATGAAGCGGGATGCCCTGTCATCATCATCATCGACAGCATGACATCAGTGTTCAACACTGATGCTTCACTGCCGTACAACCATGATTTAGTTGAAAGCCTTATTGTAAAGAAAAGAATAAAGGTGGACGGGGAAGGGACTTAATGCTACCTTAACACAATCATTCCGAGGTGCCTAGACCTCCAGACATTCACTCAGGCAATCTGGATAGAAACTGATATCAAGAACGCCA